CTTTGACTTCTCTTTCCTCTTCCAATATCCAGCGACGTTTCTCTCTCGTTAATTCTGCGTGAAAACGGCTGTACAGTCACCACTAATATATATCATTTTCTTTTTAATCTTCTGGTTACCAATTTGGCTCTTTCAATTTCTCAATCTGCCAATTTATTAGAACGTTCAATTTTGTTTACAATTTTTTTTCTCTTTTTTTTCACTTTTCCTTCTTACGATTTATTTATCACAGACAAAACAGCACGTTAACAACACTTTTTATTTTAAACAATTCTTCCACTTTTTCCCAAATTTCTGAATCAGTTATCAATCAGTTATCAAATACTTTTGGCTCACCTCTTTAATAATAAAAAGACGAGTGAAAAAAAATATATGACCAGGTCCGCATGAACTTGCATGACTGGTTTGGCATGAGTCATGAAGTCTTAACACAAATGACTTACATTAACAGGACCCTTCACTTGGTGCGGGTGGTTGCGAGTTCAAAGGAACACCCACGAACGCAGCGGATTCATGTGGATATGTGTGGTAAAGACCGGCTCAGGATCCTTTGGTTACACACTAACCGGTTCTGCGTTATCTTTTTCATTCACAAAACGGTCATGATATAAATTGTTGTTTTTTTGAGTTTTAGCTGTGCATTTATTGGCGTGGCATTTTTTTTTTTTTTTTCTTGTACTTCTTGTTCTTGTTCTTGCTCTCTTTTCTTGTTTTCTCTTCCTCCGTTTCTTCTCTCTCTCTCTCTCTCTCTCTCTCTCTCTCTCTCTCTCTCTCTCTCTCTCTCTCTCTCTCTCTCTCTCTCTCTCTCTCTTCTCACCCGCTGAGTTCTAGCTTCATCAATCACCTTTCGAGATGTCGTTCACTCGGGTATGTCCTTAAGTGCTCCGTTTTGGCCCGGGAATGTCATGGCATAAAGGAGAGTTACCCCCCAGCATTTTCCCCTGGCTCGTGTAGGTGTGACTGTGACCAATTTTAATATGCGCCTGACACCTGCGTCCACGGAGATCATTTCAGCGTTTCAGGAAAAAATGAAATCTTCATTCTTGAATTTAGAGAAAATAAATGAATGGGGTGTCCTCTCGGAGGCGTTCAGGTCAGCTCTGGGCGCATTTTCTCTTCCTCAAATGGAGGGCGATTGGTCGGCCTCCTTTCGGCGCTCTTCATCCCACAGCTTTCCCTAAATCCTGCGTCGGACTCCCTCGCTTCCTGGCACACCGGCGAGGGAAAACAAAAGAGGGGAAAACAGGACACGGCGATCGGAAGCGGCGAGAGAGCCCACCGGAGCGGCCACGGAGAAGCGCCTGTGTCGGCAACGTGCGAGATGGCCCAGCGCGCTCGACCTGCGTCTCTCCCCGCCGACGCCACAACACTGACTGAGGGCCCTCTGCACCTCGAACCCTCTGGCGCGCTCGTCTGCTTGACTCACTGACTCACTGACTGAATGACTGACTGACTGCCATGGACGCGGGCATCTGCTGAGGTACGGGCCCTCTCTGTGTGCCTTTGAGTCTGTTACTCTGTGTCTGAATGTCTGTTTGTCTATTTTTCCTTACCGTTATGTTTACTTTCCTGTAAATTTCTTTGACCTTTCTATTTCTGTCTTTCATGTACCCGTTGTCCGGCTGGCAATCTGTCTGTGCGTGTGTGTGGGTCTGTATCTGAGGCAATTTTTCTTGTAGTTGTGTTTGATTGAATTATCTGTCTCTTGACCATATTTCTGATTGTTTGTCGTACGCGGCCGTTGTTTGTTATTTGTTTTGTTTTGCTTCTTAAATTACAAGTTAGTTTACGAAATTCTTTTAATTTTACTTGTCCCTTTAACGGACGTCCACGGAGCCCGAGAAAGCATTCCGATTATCAACATGCAAATTAAACTAATCGTCAAATCACATGGGGTCAATTACCTCCGTAATCATTCTATTAATGAGATTACCAAATTGACTATGATTATTTTGTTCTGCTAATGATTTATAGAATCCTATTAGCAGTAATGATTCTTTCTTTTTTTTCAAAGGTGAATATCTATATCAAACCATAAATAATGAAGTTTACCCCCTTTTTCTATGTGCGCCAATTTTGTTGTTGTAAGCGATCGACAAACAAATTCGCTTTTCTTATTTAGCTAATAAGAGTAATATTACACCTGATGGAGTCATTAGGGACCACTCTAGTTCCTCCAGTAGATAATAATATTCACGTACCTGCGCAGATTAGTATTTTTTGCGTTTGTATCTTTTTTTTTTTCAGTGTGTGGTTATTATTCCCGGGGAGAATAACCTTTTCTGTGACGTCACGGAATGGTGGTGAGGTGGAGGAGAATGATATTGTGAGGAATATAAATCATATTTTCATATTATCAATGTTTTCTGTTGTTGTTTTTATCATTATTACTATCATTACCGTCATTCTTTTACATTTCAATTTCTGTATCAATATGGCATTTATCACCAGCGTTTCTTATCAATATCCGAGGCGAGAGAGCCAAGCAAAGTGATATTTA